GTGGTGTCCCGGAGGTGACTTGGGAATCCCTAAAATTAACCCAGAAATTCCCGGGAAGGGGCAGCGCCGGCGTGGAGTGACCTTCGGAGCCGATGCAGCGCTGCCTGGAGAAGCTGTGGCTGCCCCGTCCCTGGAGGTGTCCAAGGCCAGGCTGGACAGGGCTTGGAGCAGCCTGGGATAGTGGAAGGTGGAAATGGATGATCCTTGAGGTCCCTTCCAAGCCAAACCATTCCACGATTCCATGATTTCAGTCTTTAGATGATCTGCAGGAGCTCAGGGCTCACAATCTCCTGGATCTCCTCTTCCCAGAGACTCACCAGCCTGTGGCTGTTGTCTCCTTCTCCCTCCTGGAAGGTTTTGCTGCTCTGTGGCAGTGGAGGCTGGGAATGGGGCATTTGATGGGATTCCCTCTGGAACAAGGATTGTGACCAGCTGGGGTGGAAGGATTGGAATTCCCTGCCAGAATCCCACCCTTAGTTTTTATCTCATAGCCCAGATAGGGAATGTATTGGAGGGAGAAGTCCCAAAACATGGGGAGAAGATCCCAGTTCATCCCTTTTTGATGGTCTGATGTGGAAGTACAGCAGGATTAGCATTCCCAGTATTCCAGAAATAAATTATCTGCCTTTGAATTGACACTCACGGGGCTGTGGTTTTTATGGCCAAACACATTCCCAGGTTTCCCAATGAGTTTGTTACAATTCCCTGGGACCCGTTTCCCATCTGAGCCCTTCCTGTCGTCACTGCTGTCCCGCTGGGAATCGACTCGCTCCCGTTTCCTTCCCACAGCTCTTCCCGGTGTCCCAACGGCGACTACTGCTCCAACAGGCGCTTCCAGAAGAAGCAGCATGCGGATGTGGAGGTGATCCTCACCGAGAAGAAGGGCTGGGGGCTCCGAGCTGCCAAAGACCTGCCATCGTAAGCTCTTCCCACGGCCTTTTCCCGCTCTTTCACTCCCTCCCATAGGGAAAAAACGTGCCTTGTGGGTTCCTTCTTTCCCTGACACTGCATTTGCTGAGGCTTGTTGAGAAAATCCTCCTCCACTGGGGTTATTCCGTGTTTATTGGTGGTTTTTTCCTAAGCCAAGGGGTGTTTCTCCCTCTTGCAGCAACACCTTTGTCCTGGAATACTGCGGGGAAGTGCTGGATCACAAGGAATTCAAGGCTCGGGTGAAGGAATATGCCCGGAACAAGAACATCCACTATTATTTCATGGCCCTGAAGAATGATGAGGTGAGACAGGGATTGCTGGGCTTGGCTTTGGGAGAGTCTTCCCGGGCTTTGTGGGCAACACCAACTGCTTGGGAATGCGCGGAGCAACGTCCTGGATCCATTAGACACGTTTTCCTAAGGAAAGGAGACTTCGTGCCTTACTTTTTTTAACCCATTCCTCAGTTTTCAACCTGTTCCAACAAAATTCCAGCAGCTCAGGTGTATCCCAGGGTCCTTAGGGAGGAGAAATGGTCATTCCAAAGGAAAGGATGGATTGTGGGTCATCCCTTCCACGTGAAGGGGAGAAACTGTGTCCTTAGGAAGATGCTTCAAGCCCAACTCAACCTTCTTGGATGCCCAAGTCCACCAAGGAACCACATTTCCTTTTCCATTAAACCCCATTATATCAGGATATTTTTAGCTGGCAAAATCCCTACGGGCAGGAACGTCATTGGAATATTGATATATGGGATATTCCTAAAGATTTATCATAGTTTAAACTCTGTGGGATGTGGAGCTGCTGCCTTGGGCCCTCCCTGGATAAATAGGAATTAATCTCATATTCCACTTGTCTCTTCTTTCAGGACTTTTTTGGGTCTGAGGAGTTTGAGAATAAATGAGCTAAAAATACTCTTTTTTTCCCCCCCCTCTTTTTTCTTTACTGTTTTTTTCCTCCTTTCCCTTCTTTTTCCCTTTGTTTTTTCCTTTTTTTTTTCCCTCTTTTTTTCCCCCAAATAATCATTTTAGGGTTTGTTCTGTGTGATAATAAGGGGCACAAAGGAGGGTTTTCCTTTCTAAAAGGAACATATGGAAGTTGAGTGATCCAGGAGATGACTTTTCCCTTGGAGTACAGTGCATGTGGCAAAAAATCTTCCAGAAATCTCTTGTGCTGCATATCCAAGGATCAGGAACATTAAAAATCCAGGATTCCCATCCAACTGGAGAACTCTACCAGGAAAATTAAGAGCCATGTTCCTTTAATGCTCTTTTTTGGGGGGCATTAAATCCTAATAAAATCCTAATAAACCCCATTCTCCAACCCAAAGAAATTGCAGGAAGAGGTGATTATTCCTACGTGGGTTGTGTTTGTCGCTGTTCCGGTTCCTATTCCCGGGAATGAGCCTGTTTTCCTGGATTTCTCCTTTCTTCCCAGATAATCGACGCGACCCAGAAGGGGAACTGCTCCCGCTTCATGAACCACAGCTGTGAACCCAACTGTGAGACACAAAAGGTAAAAACCCGGAGCAAATCCAGGGGCTTCTCATTCCCACTGCCCCGTGGGAAGCGTTTTTCCTTCGTGTCTGTGTATTTTGGGATTTTTCCTTGGAGTCACTGAGGTGAAAACCGCGTTTGAAACGGGGAAGTCGCCCGGTCACGGAGCGAGTTTGAAATCCAGTGATGCTGTTCCAGGGGTTAGTCCGGTCAGTTGGAGGCAAATCCCGGTTTTTGTCACGTAATAACTCTTGGATCTTGCTTTTTCCACAGTGGACTGTGAACGGGCAGCTCCGGGTTGGATTTTTCACCACCAAACTGGTGCCGTCGGGCTCGGAGCTGACCTTCGATTACCAGTTCCAGAGATACGGGTGCGTCCCTGCTCCGGGGGATTTCCTGCAGAATTCCCTTCCCTGCTTCTTCCTCTGGCTAATTATTAATCAGCGAAGCTCCAGACTTCGCAATATTCCTTAATAATTCCTCTTTTCCCCCTCCCATCCCTGTTTTATGACTTTGAAATCCCTGAGGAGCTGTAAAAGCCTCCCAGGTGACACATCCCGTTTTCCTGGCCTGGGATTTGGATCCCTTGGCTAAACATGAGCCTACAATTCCTATCTTACTGTTTTTCCAGTTGTATGGTGGAGTAGAACTTAAGGATCACCCTTCCTTTTCCCTCTGGATCCTTCTTCAGGCTCCTCCTGGAAGCAGGAGAATCAGAAAGGAATTTTTAATTGCATTTTAAAATGATTCCTCCTTCCTGGAAGATCCTGGAGTTGAACTTTCCTGGTTCTTTCTTCTTGTGCTGTTCCTCCAGTGGATTCTGCACATTCTCCCAAGGAATTATGGAATATAGTTTGAAGTGGGTGATATTTCAAGTAGGAGTTACAGAGGTTTGGGGAAAATGTCCTGAAGATAAGAGAATTTATTAGATTTACAATTATAATTATTATATTAAGTTATATGGAATATTTTAATATATAAATGATATACATTTATATATCGATTTATCTAATTAATTTAATTTTATTTATAATTATTATATTTATTCTCCATGGCTGTACATCCATGTAAAAAAAAAATTCCATGTGAATTTTGCTGTTTCCTTGAATCCTCAGCTCATTCTTTAGTCTCTGTTTTGTATGGTTTTGAGCTATAAAATAAGAGAAATGAGCTATAAAACGCTGTAAAATGCAAGCCTTTCCTAGTGGATATATAATCCTGATTATATATTCCTTAGGAGAAGGAATATATTGATTTCCATGTGGGATAAGAAGCTTTCAGACCCACCAGCTCCACCTTTTCCTTTCTGGTTCTTGGATCTTGGCCTGGAAGTGCCCCAGGCTTTGTTTTCCAGCTGAAACAACACGGGATCATGGGAGTTCTGTAAGGAATAAAGGCTGGATTTGAATATCCAGTGCCCTGAAAGGCTTTTCCATGCAGGGACATTCCCATTTCTCCTGAGGATGCTCTGAAAACCGGGTGGAAAACTGGCTGGGGGTGGAATTGAGCTGGGATTAAACTGAGTTTTGTGTCCCCTCCCCCAGCAAAGAGGCTCAGAAATGTTTCTGTGGCTCCTCCAACTGCCGGGGGTACCTGGGAGGGGAGAACAGGGTGAGCATCCGAGCGGCCGGAGGGAAGATGAAGAAGGAGCGCTCCCGGAAAAAGGACTCGGTGAGTCTGCTGCTCCCAGGAATCCTGGAGCTCGGGAAAACCCTCCGGGATCACGAAATCCAGGCTGGCAAGGCCATTCCTAAACTGTGTCCCCAAGTGCCACGTCCACAGAGCTGTTCAATCCCACCAGGAATGGCGGCGCCGCCACCACTGGACAACCCTTTCCATGAAGGAATTTTCCCGATATCCAACTTAAACCTCCCCTGGTGCAGCCTGAGGCTGTTTCCTCTCGTCCTATCGCCTGTTCCCTGGGAAAACAGGACTCCTGAGGACCTCAGGGGTCAGGCTTTTCCACGGATGTGTCATCAAAGGTTGGACTTGATGCTCTTGGAGGTCTTTTCCAACTCTATGGATTTTGTTTCACGAGGTCCCTCAATAGTTGGGGCTTTTCTTGGATCTTTAGTTAAATCCATATTTTCTTTCACTCTGTTATTTATCCCAAAGCTCCACCCAAGAGGGGCTTCCACAGGTCCAGTATCTGCTCATCCATAACTAAAATCCACTAAATTCCACGTGGCTTTAAAAATTTGGTTTGTTTTCCATGATTTTTTAACCATCGGTGAAAGATGAACAATCTTGGCCTCAAGATTCAGGACATTCCCTGAAATTTGGCAGCTGGGAGGACACGGAGTTTTCCTGTTTCCAGGTGGAATTTGAGTCTCCCAATTCCTTTGGCTTAAAGGCAATGCATGGAATTGCAGGGATGGGTTCCCATAATGTGGAAAAACTGTGGAGAATCCAGAGCAAAGCACTGAAAAGGAGTTTTTTTTGGGTGAAAACTCCTGAAAGAACCTGCAGAGGCTCTTTTTTAATTCTTCCAAGTTGTAATTATTCTCTTCTTGAAGAAATAAGCCCCTATTCCTATAGATAAGATTTATTCCCATTTTTTTTGGGAGAAACTCTGTTTAAAAAAGGCAGGTTTTTTGTTTACTGAATCAGGGAGTGAGGGAAGCCAAGAAATAATTTATAAATTTAAATTTATTATTATTATTACTATTACTATTATTATTATTATTATTAGTAGTAGTATATTTTACATTTATAAATACATAACTACAACATATAACTATAATATGTAAATATAACATATAAATGTAATATAAAATAAATATAGAATTAAATAAATATTATTATGCATTGTTATATAAATATAAGGTCTTTTAAAACACTGATTAGGGGCTAAATAACAAAGGTTGTCCACATGGAAAGGAGTTTTCCTCTGATTCTGAAGATCATAAGTCATTTATAGTTTATCTGTAAATTAATATAGGTTTATAAAGAATGTATACAATTAATAGAGGTTATAAAGAAGTAAATTTGATCTGCAATTAAAGGTAGTTTATAAAAAATTGATACAATTCCTAAAGGTTATAAAGAAGTAAATTTGATCTGCAATTAAGGATAATTCGTAAAGAATAATTTATACAGTTCACAAAGGTTATAAAAAGTAAATTTGATCTGTGATTAAGGATAATTTCTCAGTGCACGTTTGTTTTCCTGCCTAAAAAGAGAAACACATTTTTGGGAGCGTTTTGGTGCAACCACCTGGAATTTCCTCCAGGCAGCGTTGGATTTATAGAGCTAAAAAGTGCCACTCCCTAGGGAAGCTGGAATCTGGAGTCAGGAATTCCATCCCCTGGGGTGGGACGAGGCCTGAGGGGTGTTTTCCTTTGCCTGGGGCAGGTGGACGGGGAGCTGGAGGCGCTGCTGGAGAACGGGGAAGGGCTGTCCGACAAAAACCAGGTGCTCAGCTTGTCCCGGCTCATGGTCCGGATCGAAACCCTGGAGCAGAAACTCACCTGCCTCAAACTCATCCAGGTGAGGAGCAGCCCTGGGAAGGGGAGGGATCCGTGTCCTGTTAAAGCCACATCCTCAGAGGGGGAGGGGGAATGTGGGAGGAGGGACCCGCCCTTGTTCCGGCATCCCAAGCTCGGCCGAGCAGCTCCACGCTCCGTTATCCTTGAGTTTATTCCCCAGATAATGGTTATGGTGCTCCTGCTGTTGTGTTCCTGCTCCAAATCCAGCAGTTTTGGCCACTTAAATTAGGCTGGTCCTGCTCAGGTGCCGAGTTCTGGCTCTGCCCTGGGTTCCATACTCCCCGTGGAGCAGTTTGCCGTGTTATCCCATGGAAGGGATTTTTCCCTGGGAGTCTCTGAGCATTCCCATGGACTCTCTCTAACCTTGGCTCCTCCAGAACATGTGCTCCCACTCCTGCCTGAAGGCCCTCCTGGAGGAGCAGCCCTGGGAAGGGGAGGGATCCGTGTCCTGTTAAAGCCACATCCTCAGAGGAGCAGGGGGAAGGTGGGAGGAGGGTCTTGCCCTTGTTCCGGCATCCCAAGCTCGTCCGAGTGGCTCCACACTCTGTTATCCTGAAGTTTTATTCCCCAGTCCACCAGTGATGGTTATAATGCTCCTGCTGTTGTGTTCCTGTTCCAAATCCAGCAGTTTTGGCCACTTAAATTAGGCTGGACCTGCCCGGGTGCCGAGTTCTGGCTCTGCCCTGGGTTCCATACTCCCCATGGAGCAGTTTGCCGTGTTATCCCATGGAAGGGATTTTTCCCTGGGAGTCTCTGGGCATTCCCATGGCCTCTCTCTAACTTTGGCTCCTCCAGAACACGCACTCCCAGTCCTGCCTGAAGTCGTTCCTGGAGTGCCACGGCCTGTCCCTGCTCTGGATCTGGATGACGGAGCTGGGCGATGGCAGAGGCAGCACCGCCAACAACCTGAAGCTGCAGCTGGAGGTCGGTAATTCCATGGGATTTGGAGCTTTCATAGAACCACTGAGGTGGGAAAAGGCCTTTAAGATCGAGTCCAACCCTCCCCCAGCACGGCCAAGGCCACCACTGACCCATGTCCCCCAGTGCCACATCCACAGGGCTGTTAAATCCCTCCAGGAATGGGGACTCCAGCTGGGCCAGGGCTGGACAGCCCTTTCCGTGAAGGTTTTTAGCAGCTCAGAATCACCAGGATTTTCTTTTCCTTTTGTTTTTTGAAATGCAAATTTGTACCGAGTGTTCATGGAAACAGACTCAGGTACCTCAGAACTCCAGCCCTGGAACTTCTGCCCTGAGGCAGATCCTTAATTAATGGAAGGAATTTGCTCCTGTGGTTTTCTTAGATTCCTGAGTTGGATTTCATAAGCCAGACTTAAAGACTGTTGCTGCTTATTCCCTGTGCTTTATTTCCTTTATATCCCTGTGCCAAAGCACAGGCAATTTGAGGTATTGATGGAACTGGAATGTTTCTGTTTTCCATAAGAAATTTGGGATTGTATGGCAAGAAACACCTGCAAGTTCCTTTCTTAAAGCTGATTCTACAAGAAGGTTCTGGGCAGTTTGGACGGGGCTTGGAGCAATCCAGGACAGTGCAATGTATCCATGCCCATGCAGGGGGTGGGACTGGATGAGCTTTAAGGTCCCTTCCAGCCCAAACCATTCTGAGTCTGTGACTGCTGTGATTTCTTTTTTTGGGATAGGTGGGACCCACCCCAACTTCAGGCGTTGAAACTTGCTCCGAGGTCACGGTGTTCAGCTTTGGTGGGATTTTGTGGGTTGGATGTATTCCTTTAAAATCCAGGTCATTGTTGCCCAGAGAAGCTGTGGCTGCCCCATCCCTGGAAGGTTGCAAAAGCCTTCCAAGGTCACAGAGCCCACCCTGTGCCCCATCCCCACCATGTCCCCCAGTCCAGAGCACTGAGTGCCACGACCAGGCCTTCCTGGGACACCTCCAGGGCTGGGCACTCCAAACCTCCCTGGGCAGCCCCTGCCAAGGCCTGACCACCCTTTCCAGCGAGAAATTCTTCTGAAATCCCCTACCTATGGCCTATGACCATCACTGGTTAGATTAGATGGGGTATTTAGATTTTGGATTGGATATTAGCACCATATTCTTCCCTGTGAGGGTGGTGAGAGACTGGAATTAATTTCCCAGAGGAGCTGTGGCTGCCCCATCCCTGGAAGTGTCCAAGGCCAGGCTGGACAGGTCTTGGAATAACCTGGGCCAGTGGAAGGTTCCATCTAGGGGTTGGAATGAGATGAGCCCTAAGATCCATCCAACCCAAACCATGCTGGGGTTCTGTGATAATCTCGGTCAGTTCTTGAGAAAAGGAAATAACTCCAGGTTGGACAGAGCTTTAAATCCCGACGGTTTTAACGAGGTCCCGCTTGCCTTTGCCGTTAGATCATGAAGACCCTGGAGCTGCTGCCCATCCCTACCAAGAACATGCTGGAGGAGAGCAAGGTGCTGCCCATCATCCAGCGCTGGGCTCAGACCAAGACGGCGGTGCCGCAGCTCAGCGAGGGCGACGGCTACTCCAGCGAGAACACGTCCCGCGCCCACACCCCCCTCAACACCCCCGACATCGGCGCCAAGCAGAGCTCCGAGGGGGACGCCGACACCCCCAAGAAGCTGGTGTTCCGCAGGCTGAAGATCATCAGCGAGAACAGCATGGACAGCGCCATCTCGGACACCACCAGCGAACTGGAAGGCAAGGAGGGCAAGGAAGACCTGGACCAGCTGGAGGGAACGCCCGTGGAGGCGCCGGAGGAGCAGCAACAGCAGCAGCAGCAGCAGCAGGAGGTCAAAGCCGCCGCGGACGTGCCCGTGGAGAGCAGCAAAGCCCAGCCTGTGGAGCTGGAGGCTGAGCCCGAAGCCGAGGCCAAGGAGAGCAACGGGGCGAAGCTGGAGGAGCCCATGGCCATGGAGACGCCGTCCCAGGATGAGGAGGAGGGCGTGTCCGACGTGGAGAGCGAGAGGAGCCAGGAGCAAACGGATAAAATCGTGGATGTGAGCGACTTGGCCACCAGGCTGCTCGACAGCTGGAAGGAGCTCAAGGTAAGAGGCACCTCCGGCTCCAACTTGCTGAGAAAAACGTGGAGTTGTGGTGGTTTGGTGCAAATGGGGTGAATTTTATGTCTTTTGGTAGTTGTTTGACAACTAAAATTGCCTTTTCTACACAAAAAGTGCTTTCTATGTAGATCCTCTGGTTGCTCAGTGTGTGACTTGGAGTAGAATTCCAGGTGTTGGATGCTGGAATCAGGAGATAGTTTGGTTTGGGAACACAAAGATGGTTATCCTGTTGTTTGTTAGGCTGTTCAGGGAAAGGGCAGCTCTGAGGGATTGAGATTCCCTTCTCATCCCATCGGGAAAAGAGGCTGGAGATAGCGCCATGAGCATTTTGGGTGGAAGTGGGCAAATCCCTCAATGTCGAAGTAAATTGATGGACTGTCTGCTCCTAAATTCCATCCCTAGAAGTGTCCAAGGCCAGGTTGGAGCAACCTGGGCTAGTGGAAGGTGTCCCTGCCCATGGCAGGGGGTGGAACAAGATGATTCTTAAGGTCCCCCCCAATCTTTGAACCATTCCAGGATTCTCTGAATTCCATGATCTGAACATTCTCGGCATTTCTTGTCCTCTTAACATCTGCTTTCCATCTGCATTCTGGAACCTCCAGAAGTGGGTCTCTTGGCCACGTTGCATTCCCTTGAAGGCCGTGCTGGGGGGTTGCAGTTGGTGTTTGGATCAGGGAAATGCCCGGATTTGGGGTGTTATTTGAGACCTGAGCAGTTTCATTCCCATCAAAGTCTTCCTTGAGCAGAAAGTTCTTAAGAGAAGGGCTTGGTGGCTCCTCTGGAATCGTGTCCCTGTCCTGGAGGTGGCCAACTTGGCCACTTGATCTTCAGCCAACAGCTTTTAGGGTGAGGTTCCAGTAATGGTTTTAAATTAAAAGATGAGGGATTTAGTTTAGGTGGGATATGGGGAAGGAATTCTTGGCTGTGAGGGCGGGGAGGGACTGGAATGGATTTCCCAGAGAAGCTGTGGCTGCCCCATCCCTGGAAGTGTCCAAGGCCAGGTTGGAGCAACCTGGGCTAGTGGAAGGTGTCCCTGCCCATGGCAGGGGGTGGCACTGGATGATCCTTAAGTTCCCTTCCATCTCAAACCATTCCATGGCTCTATGGACCCAAGTTGCCACTCAAAGCTTCCCTCATTTCCTGGGTTTCTTCAGACCTTTGGAAACTCTCCACTCATCTGCTGCTTCTGTAGGATTATATCCCATATATTATCTTAAATTCCTTATATCCAAGAGCATGAGGAGTGGGAACCTCTTTAATGAGCATAAAAACAGTGGTTGCTGAGGATCCAGCAGGAATCCAAGGTGCTGCCGCGCTTCCGTCATCGGGTGGGCTCGGGACAGGCCTTGGAGGGTCTCCTGCCCTTCTCTTAATCAACCATCAGCCCAGCTTTAATTATTGGCAGGAGTTTAAAGCGTCAAATGAGGCATCACAGAGCTAAAGAGTCCATTTACCCCTCGAGTTTGATAATGAGCATTGATTCAAAGAGGTTAATTAAAAATAACGGGCGTTAATTGCGCAGTGCAGACGGAGGAGGCCTCAGGAGCTCTGAGCTCCTGGACCTCTGCTTGGGAGCCACAAATATCAGGATTTATAAATGGGGGAGACTTAAGGGAAATTTTACCTTAATCTGAATTTTCCAGAAGAATCAGAGACTCTTGAACATTTTGAGAGCCATCATTTGGGCCCTGAATGTCAGTGGGGGAAGAAGGGAGACAACTCAAATATGTTTCTCTAGAGAAGTTGGGTTGTGCTTTGGTTCTTTCCCCCCTCTTTTTTCCCAAGTGGATCATTTCCCAGATTTTAATTTGTAGGCTCTTGATATTGATGTGGTTTTCTCATCAAAGCGACGCTGTCAGGTTGAATTTATGGAGGAACTGGAAAAAAGTCCTTTTCCATCCGTTGCCAAGGGAGTTGTTGCGGTTGGAAAAGACCTCCAAGGTCAACAAGTCCAACCTGTTTTAGAGTTAAGTCAGGCCCACTCAGACTTGTTTTGGGCATCCAGACTCAGTGTTTGGAACCAGCACGGAAAAACTGCTGGAAACCACTAACAAAATGTGGGAAGTATCACAAAATTCCTTCAAAATGTTGGTTTGAAACCAAGTTGAACCTGATGGTTAAACCCCAAGATTTGGGTTTTCTCTCGACCTTGGGGAAACTCAGCCTTGGTGTCTGCAGAGCTTTGCTGGAGGCCAGGATTGGGCTGTGGAATCCCGACACATTCCCAGTTTTAAATGTGGATTCCCATCCTCTCTGTGTGTTTAATTAATTCGGGTCATTGCAGTGATGGTCTGGTTGTTGGGATGGGGTTGGATCTCATGAGCTTGTGTAATCCCAGCAAATCCATCCCAAAAAAACCCGCAGAATCCTGACCTGGGGTTGTGACAACTCGTTTCTCTCCCGTAAAACACTCGTAGGGAATCTGTGAGCTGGGAATTTATTGTGTCCTGGATTTTTTCGTGGCTCTAAGAGTTAACTGCTTCTGTCCAACACTCACCTGATGAGACCCAGGTGCCAATGTCTAAAAGACAAGCCCAGGCTGGAAGCACTTTAGGTGGAACGGGGATGGATAACTCACCCCCAGGTGCCTTTTCCAGCACATCCAAGCTTTTTAAAAGCTGGTTTTCCTGGAGTGGTGGAACATCTGCCGTTGGCTGGGGCGGGGTGGGGGGATCTGAAACGTCCTCTCCAGTCTTGCTGATGATCCCCTTGTAATTTCCACCGTTTCCATCCAGCTTCTCAGGGCAGCCTGGAGCTCCCCATGTGTCTCCTTTCCTCAACTCCGTGTGGAAGAAGGGAGAGGCCATAGCGTGAAGAACCGGGAAGATGGTTGGGAAGCTGGCTGATGCATGGCAGTGTGATAGGTGCCAGGAGGACAGAGGTGGTTAACTCGGGGATGCCGACGTTATTTTGGTGCGTCCATTGCCGGCAATGGACGTCGCTCCGGGAAAATCCCGACTCCTGGCATGAAAGGATTAAGTGAGCTCTTTTTTTCTCTACCTCTACACACAGGACTTGTAAGTCCTTCCAGGGCTCCAGCACTCCCTAGTGAGGAGTGTTGGCCGTTCCCACACACCCGGCACGACACACACTGACATTCCCGGCGGGATGAGTTTCCAGCCCGGGCTCGTGGGCGCCGTTCCCGCTGTCCAGGGAAGCGCCGCACGGCTTCTCCCAGGCTCAAAACTCACTCCCAGTGGGGCACAACCCGGTGAGGGCACAGGTGGTGGTTCAACGTGGTTCTTCCAGGTCCCTTAGCCCGCTCCAGCCGGAGGATTGCGCTCAGGTAAGGCTCCAGGGGCCGATCCGTGCGGACACATCCATGGTGGAGGTGACACGTGGCCACCAGACCTGGTGCTCCACCCTCTTGGAATCACCAGAACAAGCCGTAGGACCAAGCCTGGGGAGGTTCTCTCAACATCCTTTTGAGGGCTGAGGTTTGAGCAGTTGAGGTTGAGGGACAGGAGGACACGTTTGGGCTCTGCCTCAGGTGGGACAGAGCTTTGGGAATCTTCTCCCACCCCTGAGGGGGCAGAGGAGGCCCCTCACCTGCTGGGAAGGGGCAGGGAGGAGTTGTGGATCAGAGGATCCACAGCCCCTGTCCTTAGGAGGTGGAGAAGGTCTTGATTTTAGGAAAAATCTTGTGGAAGAGCCACCCTTGGGTGCAGAAGGTCTCAGTTGGACACTTTGGCCTCGTGTTTCGCAGTGACTTGGAGGTTGAGGCCGAGTTGTTACCCTGACTCTGGCCAGGGTGGGCTTTCTCTGTGCCATGGAAACACCCATCTGAGGGCTTAAGAATCGTGGGATCAAGGAATTGTTAAGGCTGGAAAAGCCCTCTTGGACCATCAAGTCCAACTGTCCCCCAGCACTGCCAAGGCCACCACTGACCCGTGTCCTCAAGTGCCACATCCACAGGGCTTTGAAATCCCTCCAGGGCTGGGGATTCCAGCCTGTGCCAGGGCTGGACAACCTTCTTCCACGAAGGAATCTTCCCAATATCCAACCTGAATCTCCCCCGGAGGCCGTTTTAGTCTGGAAATGGACAACAGGGTTTGGGTGGTCCAGGCCAGCCAAGATCCATCTTCCCCTGAGATGCTCTTCCCAAGTCACATCCTGACTTCTCTTGGTAGGACAGTCCTGTGAAGCTCCTCTTGCCCATCCTCTTCCCAGTGAAGCCATCCCGCGGTTCCTGGCTTTGTCTCCGGCACGCACATCCCGTGTTTTAATTGGGAATCTTACAATTCGTTGTGACTTAGAGCAAGAAATAGTTTGGGAGAACAATGGGACTGGGGAGCGGCCAGGCCGTTGTTTGTGGTGGGGTTCTTTGGCCTCCAAGCAGGGATCTCGTGGCATTAAGTCCTTCCTCTTGCTCTCCTCCATCCCTTGGGATTCTGCTGGAGCTGCAGAGGAAAGAGAGGAGAGGAGCAGGAGGGAGAAAGGGAAGGAAGAGGATCCAGCCTGGAAGGGGATGGATTCGGTCACGTGATGTTCCTTCAAAAGTCAAGAGAAGTTCATAGAATCATGGGATGGAATCATGGAATCCTTAAGATTGGAAAAGATCTCTAGGATCATTAACTCCAGCCGTTAAGTCAGGGATAACTGGCAGCTGAGGGACAGAGTTGTGGAGAAGGTTCCATGGAGGCACAACTTCCTTTCCTTCCGCTGCATCCGTTGAGTCTTGAGTCCATCCTGCCGCTCTTTTCCCTTTCCCAACCCGAGGGTGGTTTGTCCCTGCAGCTGGAGAGCCCAAATCCCTCTTCCCTCCTCCTTTTGTTCCTGCCAGACTCGTGTCACTTCGCTTTCTGCCTCTCATTTTCCGTGCAGTCCCTTCAAAGCCGTGCTGGAATCTCGGGAGCCATTTGGAGCCCGTTAGGATTGATTTAGGAGCCGGGCAGCTCCGAGCCAGCAGCTTCCGTTTCCAAAAATAAAACAGGCTTTTCTTGGGAGTTTCCCCGGCCTGGCTTGACCAGCATCTGGTTTTCATGGAGCAATCCTGACATATTCCCGTGTTTATTGCTGGTTCAAAGCCTCTGCTGTTCTGTCTTCCCAGACGGACACTGGAGGCTCCGGAGCCGTTGGGTGAAGCTGGAATTGCTCCCCAACAGGACAGAGCTCGCTCCCTGCTCGTAATTCTCTTGGATTTTGGGCTTCCTGGACCTTGGTTGGGACTGGCCAGTTTGTTGGGATGGATCCTGGAATGGGTTCCCCCAATGTCCTGGTGAACCTAAAGCGACGCGTGGCAGGAGCGGCAGTTCCATGATTCCCAATTCCACTTACTCAAGTGGTCCTTCTCCTCCTCCTATTCCCACTGACCCTTTTCCCAGTAGTTTCCCATTCCCCATCCTGCTATTTACTGGGACAAATCCTTTTTAGGAGCTGGGAAGGCTAGTGTAGTTTCTCTTCCCTCCGTTCCGTTGTCCTCCATCATCTCGTGGTTGGTGGCTCCTCATCACCCCTTTCCTCCTGGGAACAGCACTTGGGAGGCCCCAGGGAGGTTTTCATGGATATGCTGCTCTGGGAGTGACTTTTTTGGGGGGGGTGATGTGGGACAGAGAGAAAAAAAATAAAGGAACCCCTTTGCTGGGGGAGGATTTTGGGGCTTCAGAACCTGCCCCTGTGGTCACCTCCTTCCCACAGGAGGGGAAATAATCCCTGGCATCCAGAGCTCTGGAATTATATGGAAAAATAAGAATAAATAGATATATTATGGCTGGATGGGGCTTGGAGCAACCTGGGCTGGTGGAAGGTGTCCCTGCCCATGGCAGGGGGTGGAACTGGATGAGCTTTAAGGTTCTTTCCAACTCAACCCATTCCATGATTCCACAATTTGGTATATAATTTTATATATAATTTAATATATAATTAATAAATATATAATTTTAGGCTCCTCCTGCATCTCTTCCCACCCCAAACACAGAGCTGCTCCCTCATTTCTCTGCATTTCATTAAAAAACACCCCTGCATTCGGGGTCCTTTAATCCATAGCAAACGTGCAAATAAATAAGAACAACCAGAAAAAAGCTTTTTTTACACCATTTAAAAGCCTTTCATCTTTGGAGATGCTTCAAACCTCACGTGGGGCTTTTGAGGCTCCACAGAAAAGCAAAAAATCCTTTTTATGAAACAAAAATCTTGGCCAAAATCCCTTTTTTTTTTTTAACATTCAGCAGCACTTTTGAAGTGGTTTTGCCTCATGAACAAACTGCAATGGGGTTTTTTTATCCTTTCTTTTATTTCACTCAAGGAAAATGGAATTTCTTAGCCCTTGGGGGGGTGGATTTTTCCCTAAAAAAGTGGGAATCTCAAAGCTGGGGTGTCATTAAATCCATTGCTGGGGGTGGACACGTTGTTGATGAGCCCAGTGGAGACCCCAGGTAATTAATTCCCCAAAAATCAAGGAATTTAAAAAAAACAGAGTATTATATAAAATCTGGAAGTCAAGTTGAGGTAAAGCTTTAAACACCCAACTAGGAGCAGATTTCACCCCTCAGGAACAGTTTATTCCATATTTTTCCCCTCTTCTGCCTCATCCATGCCCCAAATTAAAGGATATTTTAGGCAAGGTCCCTAAATCCTTCCCTGGCAAAGCTGGAATCTCAGGACACCACACCAAACACCTTATTTTTAGAACACTGAGCTTCACTTTTAGGATTTAATGGTGGTTTTTCGGGGTGCAGCTGCTGCTCCCTCAGGGATCCTCCACATTTTCTCCCTCGGATTGTTCGGGGTTGATTTGTTTGGGTTGAATTCCTTTTCCCTGCTGGTTCATCATGTTCTGCCTCAAATAACTGGGAATTCTTGGGAATTGCTGTATTCCTTCAGGAAAGGAACAAAGCAAGGCTTTGGTAAAAGCTGGAATTGAACAAAAATGAGCTTTTTGGTCCAAGCTCCCAGTCCTTGGAGAGTCACTAATGCTGTGAAAACTCAGGATACAGATTGTGGGATCACGAGGATCACTAAGAAAATGGGATTTACACCGTGAGTGCCAGAATATTCCAATGAAAAATCCAGCTGAGCATGGAAAGGTGCTGATAAAACTCATTTCTTGGTTCTAGGGGGACACAGTTGGTTAAAATGACATTAGAATAGTTGTTCCTGTGTAATCCAGTGGGGTTTAATGAGGATGTTAAACCTGGACCTTAGGGAGGTTTTAATCCTCATTCCTGACTCTTCTTCCCTTTTTTAGAATCCCAGAATGGTTTGAGTTGGAAGGGACCTTAAGGATCATCCAGTGCCACCCCCTGCCATGGGCAGGGACACCTTCCACTAGCCCAGGTTGCTCCAAGCCCTGTCCAGCCTGGCCTTGGACACTTCCAGGGATCCAGGGGCAGCCACAGCTTCTCTGGGAAATCTATTCCCGTCCTCCCCACCCTCACACTCAGGAATTCCTTCCCAATATCCCATCTATCCCTGCCCTCTGGCAGTGGGAAGCCATTCCCTGTGTGCTGTCCCTCCATCCCTTGTCCCCAGTCCCTCTCCAGCTCTCCTGGAGCCCCTTCAGGCCCTGCCAGGGGCTCTCAGCTCTCCCTGGAGCCTTCTCTTCTCCAGGGGAACCCCCCCAGCTCTCCCAGCCTGACTCCAGAGCAGAGGGGCTCCAGCCCTGGCAGCAGCTCCGGGGCCTCCTCTGGACTCTCTCCAGCAGCTCCACGTCCTTCCCATGTTGAGGACCCTGGAGCTGGAAGAGCAGAGGGTGTGGAATTTGCTGCTGTGCAAAGAGTGGTGGGTGTTGGTGTCTGATCTCAGCAGCTCCAGCAGGAGCTTGGTCCAAGGGGTTACTCAGAGCTGGGAGTTTTCCTCCCATGGGACACACTGGATATGGGGAACATCATGAGATCGTGGTGGACCCCGTCCCAGCGAGGAGGGAACTGGGAGAAGCCCGGGGATGCTCCATGGGAGAAGGGTGAGCAGATGACAAAACCACCAGCACCGTGTCTCTCTCCAAGCTGATGAACCAGAACCGTGGAATATCTCCATTGGAATGGTCCCAGAGGGATCATGGAGTACCACAAGAGGAGCTGGTGACAGACCCTCATGTCACCACGATGTGGTTTGGGGACAGTGTCCAGCTCAGGGCCCAGGTCTCTGTGGGAACACCAGGGCTGGCAAATAAGAGGCAGAAAAGCACAATTTTGTACCTGAACAGGAGCTTTTTTAGTTGGAAAAATCATTTCTTTGCTGTTCCAGCAGAGCTGCAAGTCCAGGGCTTTGTATTCCGTGGTGGGATGTGACCAGTGTGGGTCCTGCAGCTCCTCATGGAGCTCTTGTTCCAAAATTCCACCTGAATCCATCAAACATCAGGCACTGAGCAGAGGAAACACAGAGGAAAAGAGGAAATATATAGAAAGCACCTGGCTAATTTGCCTAAAATGAGAACTTTCCTTCCAGAGACACTTTTTTGTGATGGTTTCTCATAAATTCAGGGTTTATGTGATGATTTCTGTAGCTCTGTAGATATTTGGGTTGCTTTTGGGGGTAGCTGGAGCCTGACCCTGCTTGTGGCTTTCCCACAGGAGGTGTATCGCATCCCAAAGAAGAGCCAGGCGGAGAAGGAGAGCAGTGGTACGTCCTCCCCTCTTCCCATCGCTCTGCTCCCAGGAAACCACTTCATTTTCCCAGGTTGGGGTGTCCAGGGATGCTCTGCCTTCATAACTCAGCATTCCTGCTCCTCGGAGTCATCTGAGCAGGGGCCGGTGGGATGTGGAGCCCTGAGGGGGGTGTGGGACAACCAGAAACGTGGGATCACTGGGGTTGGAAAAGCCCTCCAGGACCATCAAATCCAACATTCCCCAGCATGGCCAAGGCCACCCCAAACCGTGTCCCCAAGTGCCACATCCACAGGGCTTCTAAATCCCACCAGGGGTGGGGACTCCAGCCTGTGCCAGGGCTGAACAACCCTTTCCAGGAGGGAATTGTCCCCAGTATCCAACCTAAACCTCTGCCGGCACAACCTGAGGCCTCTTCCTCAGGAGAGGGGAGCTGTTAATATTCAGAACTACAAAAATTCCCTCTTTCTCCCTGTTTTTTCCCAACAGCTGACCGTGGGAGGGATCCAGCCGGGCTCCGGGATCAGACCCCTACTCCCAAGAACCCCCCCCTGAGCCGGGAGCGGGATCCCGAGTGGCAGAGCCAGAGCAAGGAGAGGAAGCGCCGCAGGGACTCGCTGTCCCCTCCGCCCTCGGGCTACGAGCGCGGCACGAAGAGGCCGGAGGACAGGTGAGTGGGCTGGCAGGGATCTGTCCTATTCCCCGGTGAAATCTCCTGGAAAAATGATCCTGGTGATCTTTGAAGTCACCCAGGGCTGGGGAAGGGAATTTTCTCCTGGAGGAATCCTGTGTGCGATTCGTTCCCTGACCGGAGTTGGGTGGTTCCTCGGAGTTTGATGGCCTTTCCCTCTGGGATAACCTACACCTTCATCTCCAGGCATGGTTTGGGAATGAGGGCTGGGTGACCAGGGAAGCTGTGCCAGCTCTGGCACGGAAATTAGGGATCATGGCATGGGTTGGGTTGGAAGGGATCTTACAGATCTCCCAGTGCCGCCCCCTGCCACGGGCAGGGACACCTTCCACTGCCCCAGGTGGCTCCAAACCTCATCCAACCTGGCTATGAACCTTTCCAGGGATGGGGAATCCAGGAATTCCAGGGTGTAGCTCTCTTAATGCTAAGAGGTCTTCTGAGCCCTTTGAAATCCATTCCCTTCTCCTCCTCCACCTCTTCCCAGTATTCTGAGCTTGGAACAAGCCCTGCCTGTACAGGAGGGAGCAATGCCCAGGCCAGGCAGGAGTTCTAGCACCAAAAACTTCCTTGATCGAGGGATTATTCCCTGAATATTCCTGTGAGGACAACAATCCAGGCAGGTGTGATCCCACCAGGCTGGTGCTGTGTCTCCTTCCCTTGGGAATGGTGGCACCACTCCATGGCTGAGAAGGCGACTTGTGATTAAGAGAAGGAAAACATTCCATGTCTTGCAGGTCAGAGAGACTTGAGATCATGTTCCAGGCAGGAAAAATCCCGTGGAATTTCCTTTAAAGAAGTTCAGTTTTCTGCTGTCCCTGTTCAGTTGGATCCAAAGGCACTCAGTAATTAGGGAACAATCGGTGCCGAGTCAGCCAGACCAGGGAACTTCGCTCCTCACGTGGAGCTGTGCTGGGAGAGTTGGAAACATCTGGATAGAAAACAAAGAGGGAAATCTATACCCCTGGAATGAGGCATTGGCAGGGAGGAAACACACTGGGAAGTAAATAAATAATGGATTTTTTGGGTTGTTTTAACAGAACAAGTGGGTTTTTTGGGGGAGGAGTTGCCTGTTCTGGCTCTTCCTTGTGTGTGTCCGTGAGCAGTGAAGGACCAACATCCTTCTCTGGGAATGTTCTCCCCACTCTGACCATCCCACTTTGTTATCCCAAGGATTTAATGAGGAAAAATAACACAGGAGGTGGAGAGAGGAACATTAAACCCTCGGTTTTCTCCTCGGCTGCTCCTCCTCTAAACATTCCAGGCGGTGCCAGGAAAGACTTTAATTATGGAAATCAAACCCTTCACGTCAATGAGGTTCAGATTAGTGGATCCTGGGAATGCCAGGAAGCAGCTTAAGTGGATCTGTTGGTAGCAACGTGCTTTTGATATGGAAATGGATCACAGGATATGTGGAGAACATCCCGGATGCTTTGGAGAATCCCTCATATTAAGGCTGCAGAGCATTTTTCCCTGTAATCCCTTTTTTGCCGCACTTGGAACGTCTCAGAATCGCCACCTTTGATCTGAAACTTTCCTCGGCTGAGCTTTGATCAAAGTCCTTCGGCCTTTTTTTTTTTTTTTTCCCTCACTTCTTTAATTCCTTGGAAAAATCCCTCCAGCTGCTCCGTGTTTTGGGATGAAAACTCTGAAAGAATTAAAAAAAATCCATCCACACTGTTAATTATTGAAGCTGAAGTGGTCTGGGAATGAGCAGAACTCCAAACAGGAATGTGCTGCTTGTGATTCCCTTGTTCTTTGTCCTGTCTGCAGCTGTCAAGTGGGAAGAATTCCTTCCCAATATCCCATCTAACCCTGCCCTCTGGCAGTGGGAAGCCATTCCCTGTGTCCTGTCCCTCCATCCCTTGTCCCCAGTCCCTCTCCAGCTCTCCTGGAGCCCCTTTAGGCACTGGAAAGTGGGAGTTCCTCAGGTAGGAAGAATGGGATGCTGACCCAGTGCTGGAATTTGGGAGTGGAGATGCCATAGTTTGAGCTGCTCCTTCTGTTTGGGAGCCTCTCCCAAGCTCCTTGTTGGCCCTGCTTTGGGAAAAAATGCCAGAGGTTCTTCTGCTTCTGCCCTTTCCTTGGGCTCTCTTGGCTCTGGAGGTGTTCCCTCCCTCTCCCAGTGCTGCCTACAGCTCCTCCAGACAATTCCTATGACATCTTTGCCTCTCCAGCAGCCCCAGACTGGAGTTGCTCAGTCCATTGGAATCACATCCTGGGCCCTGGCTCCTTCCTCGTGGATGAGCAGGACCAGTGGGTGTTTCTCCTGAGTTCCCACAGTTGGTCAAACAGCTGGAAAAAAAGGAGTGTTTTTAAGAATTGCTGCTGCTGCTGTTGGGCGTTCCAGGTTTTCCCGGTGGTTTTTCCTGGTCCTTTTTCTGCGGGGTCCTTGGACCTGCAGCTTCCCGAGGTCTCCCAAGCCCTTTCCCTCTCCCTTCTCTCCCAGGTATGACACGCCGGCGTCCTCCAAGAAGAAGGTGCGTCCCAAGGACCGCAACAAGCTCTCCACGGAGGAGCGCCGGAAGCTCTTCGAGCAGGAGGTGGCCCAGCGGGAGGCCCAGAAACAGCAGCAGCAGCTCCAAAACCTGGGAATGGCGTCCCCGCTCCCCTACGACTCCATGGGCTACGGGACCCCCCACCACAGCTTCCTGGGGTACCCCCCCGGCTACCCCATGCAGGCCTACGTGGACCCCAGCAACCCCAACGCCGGCAAGGTGCTGCTGCCCACGCCCTCCATGGACTCCATGTGCTCTCCGGCGGGATACGAGCACTCCCAGACTCTGGTGGGGCACGCGGTGGAGCCGGCCCTGGGCGCGGCGGCGCAGCCGGTGCCGGTGGTGCAGCACGTGGCCGCCGCCGCCGCCGCCGTGGAGGTGCCGCCGCCGCAGTACGTGGCGCCGGGCGAGGCCGTGGTGCACCCCGAGCCCAACGTGGCCGTGCTGCCGGTGGCGGCGCCGGGGGCCGTGCAGGGCCAGGGCTACGGCCCCGTGTGGGAGTCGGGCCAGCAGGCCGTGGCCGTGCAGCAGCCCTACTCCCCCGCCCAGTCCCAGCCCACCATCTACTACCAGGGCCAGACCTGCCAGACCGTCTACGGCGTCACCTCGCCCTACTCGCAGACCACCCCGCCCATCGTCCAGGTAAACTCCCGGGGGGACGCGGAACGCGGGGAAAACACGGGGCTGACTCGCTCTTTGCGACTTCTCTTAATGTGGGAGCATCTACTTGGCTCTTCTCAGGGAGCTTCCCACCCAAAAATAGGAGAAAAGCACATTTTGGCGTGTTTGCTGACTACAAACGCCGTGAATTAGAGAATCGTGGAATCGTGGAGTGGTTTGGGTTGGAAGGACCTTAAGGATCATCCAGTCCCACCCCCTGCGATGGGCAGGGACACCTCCCACTGTCCCAGCTTGCTCCAGGAGGGAACCCTGTCCAACCTGACCCTGGACACCTCCAGGGATGGGGGATATTGAAAAATTCCAGAGATGGGGGGTATTGAACAATTCCAGGGATGAGGGGTATTGGACACCTCCAGGGACAAGGGATATTGGACACTTCCAGGGATGGGGGTATCAAACAATTCCAGGGATGGGGGATATTGAACAATTCCAGGGATGGGGGGTATCAAACAATTCCAGGGATGGGGGATATTGGACACTTCAGGGGTGGGAGATATTGAACATCTCCAGGGGGATATTGGGCACCTCCAGAGATGATGATTCCATAGTTGTTGGGGCCAGGCAGGAATTTGCAGCTTCCAGAAATGTTTTATATTTTATACCCTGTTTATAAAAGTGATATTGGTTTTTTGGCCGTTGAAGGGCTGTGTTTTGGGAAGAGCTTCCACTGCCACTGAGTAAAGCAGGAAAACGTGGAGGTGTGAGCTCGGCTTCCGTTGGCTTTTGGAAGCAGGTCTGGAGCTACCATCTTAAAGCAGATTATAAGGATAATATTGGGAAGGAGTTCTTGGCTGTGAGGGTGGACAGGGACTGGAACAGATTTCCCAGAGAAGCTGTGGTTGCCCCTGGATCCCTGGAAGTGTCCCCGGCCAGGTTGGACGGGGCTTGGAGCCACCTGGGATGGTGGAGCTGCTCTGTGTCCTCCAGCGAAGGGGTTTTTTTTGGGAGAAGCAGCTGAGCGTGATTCCCTGTGCTCCGTTGCAGAGTTATGCCCAGCCAGGTCTCCAGTACATCCAGGGCCAGCAGATCTACACGGCTCATCCCCAGGGAGTCATTGTCCAGCCCCCCCCAGCCGTGACCACCATCGTGGCGGCCGGGCAGCCCCAGCCCATCCAGCAGGTGAGCTCTGCTGCATCCCAGCTGTTCTCCCGTGGGATAAAGAGCCGTCAGGACCCCTCTGACCTCTCTCATGAACCCTCACATCCTTCTCTTCCCCCCTTCTGTCCTATTCCTGTTTCCAGCCAGAGCTTGTGGTGACCAACAACCTCCTGGACCTGCCTCCACCTTCTCCTCCGAAGCCCAAGACCATCGTCCTCCCTCCCAACTGGAAAACGGCCCGAGATCCCGAGGGGAAGATCTACTACTACCATGTGGTCACCAGGTGAGTGTGGGGATCACCCACATACATCCCCAAATTCCGCATCCACATGGATGTTAAATCCCTCCTGGAATGTGGATGCCATCGGTGCCCCGGGACAACCCTTTCCATGAGGAGTTTTTCCCAGTGTCCAATCTAAACCACCTCTGGCACAGCTTGAGGCTGTTCCCTCTTGTCCTGTCGCTTGTTTTTTGGGAGAAGAGCCCAACCCCCACCCCTGGAGCAGGAAATACAACTTTCCCAGTGTTTTCCCCACACTTTTGGGATTAGTTTGGGAAGTTACCAAGGCGTTGGATCAATCCCTATGAACTTATGTAAAATTATAAGGAATTTCAGATTTTTAAAAGGATTTTTTACATTTCCAAATCCATTTGAGGTGTGTATGGAGATCCACCTCTCTAAAGGGAAAAGCTGGAATATTTTCTTCCGTGTCTGGAGTGTTCTGATGCCGGTTCTTGTTGCCACACGTTTCTCTGCATCCATTAATCTTTTCCACCTCCATTCCGGATCTCTGAGACACCCACAGCAGAGCAGGAGGCCTTCAAACACTCGGAATAACAATCACTCCAGCAGGAATTAGTGATTTGTCCACGGTTTGGAAGTCTTGGGATGAGATGAGGAGACCCAACGGAGCTTGGCTGCTCCCGTGGCCGTACCTTCCCCGGGGTCTCCGTTGGGATGTTCCCACCTTTCCATGCCATGAATTTCATCCCGGGGATGAACATCCCTCGATCCCACAGTGTCACCAGTGATAGGAAACAGCGCAAATTCCCTTTTTTTAAGTTCTTCCTGCTGGGTTTTAACCTTCTCCAACTTGGAAACCTTCAAACTCCTCATGAAGAGCAAGACAAGGCCGAGATCTCCGGCGGGTGGTGGGGTCCGGGTGTCCCACTGGATGGGACAATCGAGGAGCAGGTCCCAGGTACTTTCAGGGGGTGACAATGGTCTCTGTGTGTCCTCCTCCCTCCAGGCAAACCCAGTGGGATCCTCCGACGTGGGACAGCCCCGGGGACGACGCCGGCCTGGAGCACGAGGCCGAGATGGACCTGGGGACCCCCACGTACGACGAGAACCCCATGAAGGTGAGGAGACACTGCCCTGGGATGGAGCTCAGGATGGGGGGTCCAGACGGATTTGGGAGGTGACAGGGACAGGAGTGACCTCAGATCTGTCCTAATGCTCTCAGTGCTCGGCTCTTCTGGTGCAATTCCCTGTGGGATGTTCTTCCCTGGATTCCAACCCCCTGTGGGCAGCTGACCTTATGATCTCCAAAAAAAGGGGGAATGAGTGGGAGCAATGTTGAAATAGGACAAACTAAGGATGTAACTTAGAAACCCTTTTGATACCTTTCTGATTCCCTGAAAAACAGAGATCCATGGAAACAGAGATCCTCACCGCTGCTCCGGTGCTCCCACAGCTGGGAGGGATTTTCCTGGAGGAAAATCCCATCCTGGGACACCCAGGAACATCCCGTTCAGCTGCTGTCACCTTTCCATGTGCTGCCAGGATCCCAAGGGTTAATCCCATTCCCGGAGTGCCTCCGAGTACTTCCTGGCCAGTTCACTCCAAGGAAATTACTGGCAAATATTTGTCTCCCTGTAAAAAAGTTAATTAGAAAATGAGCTCAGACCTGGAATTTGCTGCTCAGCCAAGGGGTTGTTGCTTCCAGAAAAGCCTTTCCAAGGTTTTAGTTTTCCCCTGGATCAGTGTCCCATGTACCCTGTGCCATTCCCTGCGGATCTGGGATCTTGTGCTTCTTTGGGTTGCAAATATTGTAGGAGGATATTGGGATTTCTCAAGGGAATGTTAATTTTAGGCTTTAGCTGAGGTTTTATTAAACTGGAATAGCTGGAAAACGCATCCCTATGGAGGGACGAGCTGGAGCTTGGTGGTGTGGAGCAGCCTGGAGATATTTGGGAACATCCCTGTGGTGAGAACAAGGTGCTGAGGAGAAGGTCGGGCTCTTCTGAGCGAGGGAACAGAGCTGTGCTGCTGCTTCCCAGCCTGGGAGTCATCTCCCTATGGAATTTTGAGGGTCTCGGTGCTTCCTGTGAGCAAGGAAAGGTGCTTCCGTAAATGTGGCTTTTGTCCCATGAATGGTGGCTTTTATCCCATAAATTGGGATAAAAAGGAGCTGAGGACTGGGGTGACGATCCAAGGGCTTCACTTTGGGACAGACATGAGTTGGCTGCTCCTTCCAGGTTTTGCTGCTCACTCAAACCCCCAAATCCCAATTTTTAGGTGCAGGAATTCCCTAAATCCATCAATCCCTCATTCCTAAAGGTGACCTCCTGGTGAGGTGATTCCTACTCCTTCCAGAGCTTTAAATCCTTTTCTTCTGGGTCAGGAGAGCCAGAAGGTCGGGTTTTTCCTGGCATTGAATTCCCATGGTCATAGCTCCCGCCTCCCACCACATTCCTTGGATTTTTTTTGCCCTCCTCCCCACCCCACACCTTTTCCAAGAGGGATTAAACCCAGCGGCATCGTGGCTCCAGCCAACAGCTGCTGCTGCTATTCCTGGTGTTCCCTTTCCATGGGGGATGATTTTGATGGAAAGGCACAAGAGGTGTGGGAAGCCCCCAGCACCATTTCCCTTTAAAGCACGTTTTAAATCCCGTTTTTCCCCTTGGAAAAGGGGTTTTGTGAGGGAGTGGCCCGGCAGAGCGCTCGGGAATGCTGGCACTGACAGCGGGCTGGATGCCGAAGGTTTTCCATCCTTTTAGCCTGGATTTGTGGCAGGATGTGTTTGTGGCCCTGCTGGTTGGTTCTCCATGGGAAAGTCGGTGTCAGTGGAGCAGATCCCAGTTGCCAGAGGAGACAATCCCAGTCAGGCTCCTCCAGAATTCCCCACACATTTGGCTTCTTGATGCCATTCCTGGTTTTCCCCCAAGAGCATCTTTGTGGCTTTTCCATCCCCGTCTCCTCCAGAGGCTGATAAATAGGGACACCACCATTCTGGGGGCTTTTCCGGGGTTAGTTTTCCTGGTGGGCAGCACATCTTTGGATTATGGGAATGCTTTGGAGGGGCAGCAGAGAAAGCCCTTGTTCAGGGGGTTTTAATATTAAAATAAAGGTGAATTTTAGCCTAAAATGAGGAGAAATTCCCTAAGGAGAACTTGGTGCCTTTGCACGAGGAGGAGCTTGGAAAGGGAGTTTCTATTTCCCCTCCTCATCTTTCCCTGCAAATTTTGGCACAGATTTTTCCCCCCATCCCACATGGAGAAGGGGGAGAAAGGTTTAGAGGGTGGAGAAGGTTTTGGGGGAGGAGAAGGATTTGGGGGTGGAGAAGGGGATGGAGAAGGATTTAAAGGTGGAGAAGAGATTGGTGATGGAGAAAGATTTGGGGATGGAAAAGAATTTGGGGGTGGGGAAGGATTTGGAGCTGGAGAAGGGGATAGTGAAGGATTGGGGGATGAAGGTTCTGGTGATGGAGAAGGGTTCAATGGAGAAGGGATTGGGGGTGGAGAAGAGTTTGGTCATGGAGAAGGATTTGGGGGTGGAGAAGGGTTTCATGGTGGAGAAGGATTTGGGGGTGGAAAAAAGGGTTTGAGGTTTAAGGGAGAAGGGTTTGAGGATGGAGAAGGATTTGGGGGTGAAGAAGGATTTGTTGGGGGAGAAGGGTTTGGTGGAGAAGGGATTGGTGATGGAGAAGGGCCTGGTGGTGAACAGTTGATGGGAGAGAGGGATTTGGTGGTGGAGAAGGTTCTGGTGATGGAGAAGGGTTTGGGGTTGGAGAAGGGATTAGTGATGGAGAAGGGTTTAGTGGAGGAGGATTTGGGGGTGGAGGAGGATTTGGGGGTGGAGAAGGATTTGGGGAGGAAGGAGGTTCTGGTGATGGAGAAGGATGTGGGGGTGGAGAAGGGTTTGCTGGTGGAGAAGGATTTGGGGGTGGAGAAGGGATTGGTGATGGAAAAGGGTTTAGTGGAGGAGGATTTGGGGGTGGAGAAGGATTTGGGGATAAAGGAGGTTCTGGTGATGGAGAAGGATGTGGGGGTGGAGAAGGGTTTGCTGGTGGAGAAGGATTTGGGGGTGGAGAAGGGATTGGTGATGCAGAAGGATGTGGGGGTGGAGAAGGGATTGGTGATGCAGAAGGATGTGGGGGTGGAGAAGGGTTTGCTGGTGGAGCGTTGCAGGGTTTGGTGTCGCCGCCGTGCCGGAGCCGCTCCAGGATCCATCCGGGATCCATCTGCTCCCCATTCCCGGCCCTTTGAAGTGGCAGCAGAGCCCCGGGCAGCGACTGCAGAGCTTTGATGTCCCTCGGCCATAAAACGGCCCCGGAAAGGTTGATTTACATCCCACAGTCCCTTTGCTCCCGGGATTTTGCAGCTCTGCCCTCCAGCCAGGCACGTTTTTAGGGATTGAAAGGAATGGGATGGCTCCTGCTTTTTTCAGTGTTAAATGCTTTTTAAAAAAATGGGGATTTTTTTAATTAAAAGAGCCGTCGGAACATCATCAAAGAGCAGAGGGAGAAGGGAAACCTCCCCCAGCTATCCCAAAGTGCTTTTGCTCTTGCCATCCTTCAAATCCAAGTCGTGGTGACCTGCAGTTCCCAAAGCTCTCCCAGAAAGCGGTGCTGGTGGAGAGACACTGCTTTTCCCTTCCTTGGACTCCGAGGATGTCACAGGGCCTGGGATGGGTGTGTGTGGGAGGTGGGTGTGGAGCACAAGGGATGAGCTCCGGGATGCAGCCGGAGCCGGTCCTGCTCTGTTAGTACAGGCAGCAAATTAAATCAGGGATCAGCACGCAGGGAAGCAGCCAGGAATTCCTAGAAAATCCACTTTATCCTGGCTGCAGCTAAAGATAATCCCTGTGAATGCTTGTGGAGGGTCCCAGCCCTCGCAGGGAATTCCTGAAGGAAACCCCCCCCACTGCAGGACTCGCTCCCACTCTGGATCAGCCCAGCTCTGCCAGGACCTGCTCATGCTCTTTTTCCAGGGTTTTTTTCCGAGGAAAACAAGAGCAAGGAGTGGTCCTGAGGGCTGTGCTCCCAGCCCAGGAGTGTGACTGGGAATTGTGCCAGGATTGGGCTGGAAAATGTGTCAGGACCGAGCTGGGGAGTGTCAGGATCAGGGGTGGGAAATGCTGGGACTGGGCTGGGGTTGTGCTGGGATCAGACTGGGAATTGTGCCTGGACTGGGGTGAGGAGGGTGCTGGCACAGGGATGGGAAGCTCAGCAGGAATGGGCTGGGAGCTGCCTGGTTTGGGGTGTGGAGCTGCCAGGATTGGGCTGGGAAACGTGCCTGGATCAGGCTGGGAAATGTGCTGGCACTGGGCTGGGAGGTGCCGGGACTGGGCTGGGAAAGGGATCGGGAATGGGTTGGGGAGAGCACTGGGGATGACCTGGGAAGGATATTGGGAATGGGTTGGGGAGAGCACTGGGGATGACCTGGGAAGGATATTGGGAATGGGTTGGGGAGAGCACTGGGGATGACCTGGGAAGGATATTGGGAATGGGTTGGGGAGAGCACTGGGGATGACCTGGGAAGGATATTGGGAATGGGTTGGGGGGCACACCGGGACCAGGCTGGGAAGCTCACTGGGACTGCCAGGATCAGACTGGGAAGAGACCAGCACTGGACTGGGAAGCTCACTGGGATCAGGCTGGAAAGTCCCTGGATTGGGCTGGAGAGCCTCATCAGGCTGGGAAAGTCACTGGGAATGGACTGGGAAGTGTGCAGGGAATGGACTGAAGAGTGTGGTGGTATTGGACTGGGAAACTCACCGGGAATGGGCTGGGAAGCTCACTGGGAATGGGCTGGGAAGCACACTGGGAATGGGCTGGGAAGCTCACTGGGAATGGGGTGGGAAGCACACACTGCCCACCGGGCTGTGGGGTGGGATGGGCAGTTCCCGAGGTGGGAAGAGGGCCAGGGAAGCGCTGACATCCCTCCATTCCCCCTTCCCAGTCTTCCAAGAAGCCCAAGACGGCGGAAGCCGACACGTCCAGCGAGCTGGCCAAGAAGAGCAAGGAGGTGTTCCGGAAGGAGGTGGGTGTTCCCGGGGCACCGGGATGGGGCCGGGATGGTGGGATTGGGGAGCTGATCCCGCCGTGTCTCCGCAGATGTCCCAGTTCATCGTGCAGTGCCTGAACCCCTACCGCAAACCCGACTGCAAGGTGGGCAGGATCACCACCACCGAGGACTTCAAACACCTCGCCCGCAAGGTGGGAACCTGGGAATGGGGCAGTGTGGGAAAAGGGCAGGGGGAACACGGGAATGGGGGTGGATGTGGGGACATGGCGGGCACAGGGGCATGGGAACGTGGGAAGGTGGGATACAGGGACATGGGGATGTCAGAAAATGGGGACATGGTACAGGGACACAGGAATATGGGAAAACGGGATACAGGGACATGGGGACATGGGAAAATGGGACACGGGGACATGGGAAAATGGGGTACAGGGACACAGGAATATGGGAAAATGGGATTCAGAACATGGGGACATGGGTACAGGAACATGGGAAAATGGGATACAGGGACACGGGGACATGGGAAAATGGGATACAGGGCCATGGGGATGTCAGAATGTGGGGACATGGTACAGGGACATGGGAATATGGGAAAATGGGATTCAGAACATGGGGACATGGCGGGTACAGGGACATGGGAATATGGGAAAACGGGATACAGGGACATGGGGATGTCAGAACGTGTGGACATGGGTACAGGAACATGGGAAAATGGGATACAGGGACATGGGGATGTCAGAACATGGGGACATGGTACGGGGACATGGGAATATGGGAAAACGGGATACAGGGACATGGGGATGTCAGAACGTGTGGACATGGGTACAGGAACATGGGAAAATGGGATACAGGGACATGGGGATGTCAGAACATGGGGACATGGTACGGGGACATGGGAATATGGGAAAATGGGATTCAGAACATGGGGACATGGCGGGTACAGGGACATGGGAATATGGGATTCAGAACGTGGGGACATGGGTATAGGGACATGGGAAAATGGGTTACAGGGACATGGGGATGTCAGAATGTGGGGACATGGGTACAGGAACATGGGAAAATGGGATACAGGGACATGGGGATGTCAGAATGTGGGGACATGGGTGCAGGGACAGGAACATGGGAAAATGGGATTCAGAACGTGGGGACATGGGTACAGGGACGTGGGAATATGGAAAAATGGGATACTGGGACACAAGGACATGGGGAATATAGGGACATGGGATGTGGGGACATGAGGACACTGGGACACAGGATACAGGGACATGGGGACACAGGAATGTGGGGACATGGTGGGTACAGGGACATGGGAATATGGGAAAAAGGGATCCAGGGACACAGGGACATGGTGGGTACAGGGACATGGGAATATGGGAAAAAGGGATCCAGGGACACAGGGACATGGTGGGTACAGGGACTGGGAATGTGGGGCCATGGGGATATAGGGACATGGACAGTACAGGGACTGGGAATGTGGGGCCATGGGGACACAGGAACATAGGGACACAGGGACATGGGGACACAGGAATGTGGGGACATGGAGGGTGCAGGGGGGGGGTGGGCTGTGTCACCCCATCCATTGGATCCACCTGGAGGAAAAGGGAAGGAAAGGAGCAACGGTGTGGGGAATAACAGGCAGTACTTGGGGAATATCAGGAAATATCAGAGGAATATTTGGGGAAAAAACAGCAAAATAGTTTGGGGAATGATAGAAAATATTTTAGGAAAAATAGCAAATCTTTGGGAAACAATAGGAAAATGGGTGGGGGAATAGCTCGGGAATGACAGCAAATATTTGGGGAAAACCAGCAAAATGGTTTGGGAAATAGATGGGAAATAATAAGGAATATTTGGGGAATAACAGCAAATTATCGGGAGAATAATGGCAAATATTGGGGGAATGTTTGGAAAGTAGTAGAAGAGTTGTTTGAGGAATATTTGGGGAATAATGGGGAATATTTGGACAATGTCTGGGGGAATAATAGGGAATTAGCTTAGGGAATATCTGGGAAATAACAGCAAATATTGGGGGAAAAATACCAAATAGTTAGGGAATATTGGGGGAATAATAGCAAATTATTGAGGGAATAACAGGAAATATTTGAAAAGTAATACAAAAGTGATTTGGGGAATAATAGGAAATATTTGGGGAATAATGGAGAGTATTTGGGGAATGTTTAGGGAATGACAGGAAATATTTGGGCAATAATAGGAAAATAGCTTAGGGAATATTTGGAAATAACAGCAAATATTTTGGGGGAAAATATCAAATGAATTGGGAGAATAGTAGAAAATATTTGGGGAATAATGGGGAATATTTGGTAATAATGGGGAATATTTGGAGGATTTTTGGAAGAATAATAGAGAAATAGCTTAGGGAATATCTGGGAAATAATAGCAAATATTGGGGGAATAATATCAAATCTCTAGGGGATATTTAGGGAATAACAGACAATTAATTAGGGGAATAATAGGAAATAATTGGGGAATATTTGGGGAATAATAACCAATTGGAGTGGTTGGGGAATAACAGGAAATATTTGGGAAATAATAGGAAAATAGCTTGGGGATGTTTGGAAAATAATAACAGGTATTGGGGAACAACAGCAAATATTTCGGGACTATTTAGGGATTAATAGCAAATTAATTGTGGGAATATTGGGGGAATAATGGGGAATGTTTGGGGAATAATGGGGAATGTTTGGACAATGTTTGGGGGAATAATAGGAAATTAATTTAGGGAATATTGGGGAAATAATAGGCAATTAATTAGGGGAATAATAGGAAATATTTGGGGAATATTTGGAAAGGAATAGAAAAGTGATTTGGGGAATAATAGGAAATATTTGGGGAATAATAACCAGTATTTGGGGAGTGGTTGAGGAATAACAGGAAATATTTGGGCAATAATAGGAAAAAAACCTGGGGATGTTTGGAAAATAATAACAAATATTTAGGGAATGTTTGGGGAATGATAGCAAATTAATTGGGGGAATAATGGGAAATGTTTGGGGAAATAAGAAATATTTGGGGAAAACCAGCAAAATAGCTTGGTGAATATTTGGGAAATAATAGCAAATATTTGGGGAATGATATCAAGGATTTAGGGAACATTTGGGAAATAAGAGCAAATTATTTGGGGCAATAATAGGAAATATTTGGGGAATATTTGGATAATGGGGGAATAACAGAAAATTAACTTAGGGAACATTTGGGGAATGACAGACAGTGGATTGGGGGAATAATGTCAAATATCTAGGGAATATTGGGAGAATAATAGGCAATTAATTAGGGAAGTAATAGGAAATATTTGGGGAATATTTGGGGAATAGTAACCAATTGGAGTGATTGGGGAATAATGGAGAGTGTTTGGGGAATAATGGGGAATATTTTGGGAATAACAAATACTTGGGCAATGACAGAGCTTTGGGAATATTTGGAAGTAACAGGAAATATTTGTGGAGAAAAATAGGAAATTAATTGGGGGAAGTAACAGGAAATATTTGGGGAATGTTGGGGAATGTTTATTTGGGGAATGTTTATTTGGGGAATAGCAGGAACTATTTGGGCAATAGTAGGATCAAAGCTCAGGGAATAGTTGGGAGTAAGAGGAGTTCCTTAGGGAATAATGGCCCAGTGGGCTGTGGAATGGCCAGGCCGGGGCTCAGTGGGAATTCCAGGCCTGACTCAGCATTCCCACGTTTCCAGCTGACCCACGGGGTGATGAACAAGGAGCTCAAGTACTGCAAGAACCCCGAGGACCTGGAGTGCAACGAGAACGTCAAACACAAAACCAAGGAGTACATCAAGAAGTACATGCAGAAATTCGGGATCCTCTACAAGCCCAAAGAGGACACGGAGCTGGAATAGCACCTGGAATAAACCCCATCTCCCCCATCCCGTCCCTTCCCGCCAGGATTGGCCCTTTGGAACTCCCCCAACCTGGGAATTTTATTTTCCCCGTGACGTTTTTTTTTAAAGGAAAGGAAGTGTCGTTCCCGACGCCGAGGCCTGGTCGGGCTTTGCCAGGCCTGGTTTTCCCAAGCCGGGCTTTGCCAGGCCTGGTTTTCCCAAGCTGGGCTTTGCCAGGCCTGGTTTTCCCAAGCTGGGCTTTGCCAGGCCTGGTTTTCCCAAACTGGGCTTTTCCAGGCCTGGTTTTCCCAAGCCAGGCTTTGCCAGGCCTGGTTTTCCCAAACTGGGCTTTGCCAGGCCTGGTTTTCCCAAGCCAGGCTTTGCCAGGCCTGGTTTTCCCAAACTGGGCTTTGCCAGGCCTGGTTTTCCCAAGCCAGGCTTTGCCAGGCCTGGTTTTCCCAAACTGGGCTTTGCCAGGCCTGGTTTTCCCAAGCCAGGCTTTGCCAGGCCTGGTTTTCCCAAGCCAGGCTTTTCCAGGCCGAGCGTTGCCGGCGCCGCTCTGGAGCTCTGTATTATATTTTAACGTATATGTGAATATATTGATAATAATTTGCTTTTTTTCCCCCGTCGCTTTTAGCCCTGAACTTGCCGATCCCACGGGAACACTTTGCCAGGAATTGTTTTGGGGTTATTCCCCCTTTTTTTTTTTTTTGTTTGTTTTGAGTTGTTTCCTCGGTTTTTCCCTCCCGCTCCCGAGAGGTTTCCCTGTGTTTTTTTTCCCCTGTAAATAACTGCAGATTTCTGGCCATGTGGATAAGATTGATTTTACTGCTTCGAGCATTTTACTTTCTCTCCAATTTTTACGGAAACTTTTTTTGTAAAAAACAAAAAAGGCAAAAAAAGAGAAAAAAATAAAAAATCCAAAGAAAAACGATCCCCCCCCCTCCCCCAAAAATCCAAATCGACGCCGGACTCGGGTGGGAGGGTGGGGTCTGGGGAGGACTCCCCTGTGGCCCTCAGGATTCCCGGGAATCCTTGGGGAGTGGGAAAGGGGGGAGGGGGAGGTGACCCGGGGGCATTTTGGGGTTAAAAAGGCCCTTTTACATCACAGGTGCCACCTGACTTGGGGTCCTTGGGGTGTCCCCACAGCCAGGGAGGCTCCGGGGGCCGTGTGGGATGGGGGGGATGTGGGGACACCTGGGATGGCCTGGGGACATGGGGGGACACACGGACACCCGAGGGACACACGGACACCTGAGGGGACACACGGACACCTGAGGGGACACACGGACACCTGGGGGGACACACAGACACCTGAGGGACACCCGGACACCCGAGGGGACACCCGGACACCAGGGGGGACACACGGACACCCGAGGGACACACGGACACCTGAGGGGACACACGGACACCTGAGGGGACAGGAGGACACCTGGGGGGACACACAGACACCTGAGGGACACCCGGACACCCGAGGGGACACACGGACACCAGGGGGGACACAAGGACACCCGAGGGACACACGGACACCCGAGGGACACACGGACACCTGAGGGGACACACGGACACCTGAGGGGACAGGAGGACACCTGGGGGGACACACAGACACCTGAGGGACACACGGACACCCGAGGGACACACGGACACCCGGGGGGACACACGGACACCCGAGGGACACACGGACACCCGGGGGGACACACGGACACCTGAGGGGACACACGGACACCCGAGGGACACACGGACACCCGAGGGACACACGGACACCCGGGGGGACACACGGACACCTGGGGGGACACACGGACACCCGAGGGGACACGTCCCGAGGACATGGTTGTGGGGACACCGGGATGCCCGGGGATACATGTCCTTGGGACACACGGACACCTGAGGGGACACACGGACACCTGGGGGGACACAGGGACACCCGAGGGACACACGGACACCCGAGGGACACACGGACACCCGAGGGGACACACGGACACCCGAGGGGACAGGAGGACACCTGGGGGGACACACAGACACCCGAGGGGACACACGGACACCCGAGGGGACACACGGACACCTGGGGGGGGACACACGGACACCCAGGGGGACACAAGGACACCCGAGGGGACACACGGACACCTGGGGGGGGACACACGGACACCCAGGGGGACACAAGGACACCCGAGGGACACACGGACACCCGGGGGGGGGACACGGACACCCGGGGGGACACACGGACACCCGGGGGGACACACGGACACCCGAGGGACACACGGACACCTGAGGGGACACACGGACACCTGAGGGGACAGGAGGACACCTGGGGGGACAGGAGGACACCTGGGGGGACACAAGGACACCTGAGGGACACCCGGACACCCGAGGGGACACACGGACACCAGGGGGGACACAAGGACACCCGGGGGGACACACAGACACCCGAGGGGACACACGGACACCCAAGGGGACACACGGACACCCGAGGGGACACACAGACACCCGAGGGGACGGACACCCGGGGGGGGACACGGACACCTGGGGGGGGACACACGGACACCTGAGGGGACACACGGAAACCCGAGGGGACAGGAGGACACCTGGGGGGACACACAGACACCTGAGGGACACACAGACACCCGAGGGGACACACGGACACCCGGGGGGGACACACGGACACCCGAGGGTAGGGGACGGTACACCCAGGGGGACACACGGACACCAGGGGGGACACACGGACACCCGGGGGGGGACACAAGGACACCTGAGGGGACACACGGACACCCGGGGGGACACACGGACACCTGGGGGGACACATCCTGGGCCCCGGGGGTGGAAGGACACAGGGCCAGGCAAGGACACACGGACACCTCGGGAATGGCGGCTGGGATCTGGGGAGGAACAGCTCCAGAACTGGAGGAATAAGGGGAAATATTCGGGGAATAATGGGAAATAACTGGGGAGGAAGAGAAAAACGGTTTGGGGAATAACAGGGAATATTCCGGGGGAAAACAGCAAATGGTTGGGGAATAATAACAAAAATGGTCAGGGAAAAGTTGGGGAATAACAGCCAGGATTTGGGGAGTGTCTGGGAATGACAGGAAATATTTGGGGAATATTAGGGTGAGAATAGGGAAATAGGTTAGGGAATATTTAGGAATAATAGGGAATATTTGGGGAACAATAGCAAGTGTTCAGGGAATATCTGTGGGATAATAATAAGTATTTGGGGAATATTTGGGAAATAATGGGAAGTACTTGAGGAATAATGGCAAAATAGTTGGGAAATAACAGGAAATATTTGGGGAATAAAAGGAAAATAGCTTAGGAAATATTTTGGAAATGCTGGGAGAACAAAATTAAATATTTAGGGAATATTTGGGGAATAATAGGAAATCAATTGGGGGAATAATATTTGGGGAATATTTGGGAAGTAACAGACAAGTCGTTTGGGGAATAATAGGAAATATTTGGGCAATAATGGGAAAATAGCTTGGGGAATGTTTGGAAAATAACAGCAGATTTTGGGGAATAATTCCAAATGTTTATTAGCAAATTAATTGGGGTAATAATGGGGAATATTTGGGGGAATAAAAGGAAAATAGTTTAGGAAATATCTGGGAAATAATAGCAAATATTGAGGGAAAGATACCAAATATTTAGGGAATACTGGGGGAATAATAGCAAATTATTGAGGGAATAACAGGAAATATTTGGAAATAACAGCAAATATTTTGGGGAAAAAACCAAATGAATTGGGGGAATAATGGGAAATATTTGAGGAATAATGGGGAATATTTGGGGAATAATGGGGAATATTTGGAAGATTTTTGGAGGAATAATAGAGAAATAGCTTAGGGAGTATCTGGGAAATAATAGCAAATATTGGGGAATAATATCAAATCTCTAGGGGATATTTAGGGAATAACAGGCAATTAAATAGGGGAATAATAGGAAATATTTGAGAAAAATTTGGGAAGTAATAGGCGAGTCATTTGGACAATAATAGGAAATATTTGGGGAATAATAACCAATATTTGGGGAGTGCCTGGGGAATAACAGGAAATGTTTGGGCAATAATGGGAAAATAGCTTGGGGAATGTTTGGGAAATAATTGCAAGTATTGGGGGAACAACACCAAATATTTTGGGAATATTTAGGGAATAATAGGAAATTAATTGGGAAAATAGTGGGGAATACTGGGGAGAATAATGGGGAATGTTTGGGGAATGTTTAGGGAATAACAGGAAATGTTTGGGGACTAATGGGGATTATTTGAGGAGTAATAGGGAATGTTTGGGGGAATAATAGAAAACTGCCTTAGGGAATATCTGGGAAATAACAGCAAGTATTGGGGGAATAATATCAAATATCTGGGGAATATTGAGGGAATATTAGGCAATTAATTAAGGGAATAACAGGAAATATTTTGGGAATAATAGGAAAATAGCCTGGGGATGTTTGAAAAACAAAATAGCAAATTAATTGGGGGAATAATAGGAAATATTTGGGGAATAATGGGGAATATTTGGGGAATAGTGGGGAATATTTGGGGAATGTTTGGGGAATAATAGAAAATTGCCTTAGGGAATATCTGGGAAATAATTGCAAGTATTGGGGGAATAATAGACAATTAATTAGGGGAATAATAGGAAATATTTGGAGAATAATAACCAATGAGAGTGGTTGGGGAATAACAGGAAATATTTGAGAAATAATAGGAAAACAGCTTGGGGATACTTGGAAAATAATAACAGGTATTGGGGAACAACAGCAAATATTTCAGGACTATTCAGGGATCAATAGCAAATCAATTGTGGGAATAATGGGGAATGTTGGGGGAATAATGGGGAATGTTTGGGGAATAACGGGGAATGTTTGGGGAATGTGAGGGGACACATCCCAGTGGTGTGTGTGGGGACACACGGAGATGTCCAAGGACAGAGCCCAGGGACACCTGAAGGGAACATCCCAGGGACACAGGGACAGCTGGGGACACCTGAAGGGACACATCCCAGGGACACAGGGACAGCTGGGGACACTCGGGACACCTGAAGGAAACATCCCAGGGACATAGGGACAGTTGGGGACACTCAGGACACTTGAAGGGACACATCCCA